CTAGGGGACGCTAATAATTAGGACACTGAAGAGCCTCGTAGATGAGGGGCGGAGTAAATTTAGATGTTTGCCTTGCAGCAAGGTCACAGTGCTTCTGTGGAGCAAGTGTAGTCCAACGAATATGTCGTTGTAGCCGGCTAAAAAAATTATTATAGACGTATGGATGCACTTATTTGACCTTCATAAGGATTGCGACAATCTTGGTTGTCAATGCAACTCTGCCATATGAAACGGCTTCGGGTCGAAGGTTAAATGAGATGAAATGGGAGAATCTAGAGTTAGACCTAAAATATCGGATAGAGCATGGCAAATAATAGGGGCGAGCGATGTCGAAAGCTGATAGCCTTAAGTGAGGTAAATCACTGGAGAAGTTGTTCCTGTGTAAATACTTACATGATTTTTATATCGGCTTCTGATTGCCTCGAGAGGTCTCGGTCTGATAGGGCCAAGTATACAAAATATGGATATTCACAAATACTCTTAGTATAAGGAGAGTGTTGATGTAACGAACTAAACAGATGTGTTGAGAGATAGAAGTAATATGTCAATAAAAATGCAATTATATTGGATTGATGCTCCCTTATTAGTGAGAAAGAAAGGAAAAGTGGTGAGTTAGGAGAGCATGACGAGTCTGGTTAGATAAGTGAATAAATAAAAGGGACGGTTGAAGTTGAAATAGATTTGTCCTAAAGTAAATTTATAATCGATAATCCGGGGTCACACACACACACACACACTTCTAGAGCATTTTATTCAACCTCCCACTTAGCACATGCAAGATTTTATCTCCTAGTATATTTCTGGTCTTCATTATCTATTCTTTCCTCTTTCTATATGAGCCGCTTTAAAATCCTACTACTTAACTGTTTTGCCTATTTATTTTTACTTCTTAGTCATCCCTTTGGGGTTGAAATCTTCATATACTGTAAAAACTTTGGCTTTCGACATTCTTATATAATTTCCTGTACTAGTCACGTGTTCACGCAACTCTAATTTTTTTATTGTTAGGGGGACTTTCAGTTCGCATAAAAGTGAATGAATAAGAGATTTGTTGGTCGATATCATCAGATGAGAACGAATGAATCTTGTTGTACTGTAGTCGTTTGTCTTTTATACGATATTCATTTTGACGCAGTCCACAAGACTTCCTCCCTTTTTTCGGGTGAAAACGTGCTGAGCTTTCGTCCATCATATAATGGAAATCATCAGAGCTGGGTTTCATTCTTGTAAGAGTCTTCCATTAACACTAGGCCAAGAATACTATCCGGCTCTATCTTACTTCTTATAAAGACTCAATTTAGACAAAATAAATCAAAAACCTAGATAGATCAATATATGGTGGTTTGGTTAAATTTCTTTAATACTGGTCCTGTTATTTCTGCTTGAGTGTATGAGTATGTGTATTTGTGTGTGTTAGCGTCTATATGCAATATGGTTCCTAAATCAGAGTTATCAAAGGTTAAATCTCAGGTTCTGATTCTCAAGACCTAATTACCCAAAAGAAAGCCTTGACTGAGACTGCGTAGGTCGGTAAACAAGTATGGTTGAGATAATGAGATATGAGCTTGTATGCATGAAAATCAAGTTAGGAAACCATTTTTACTAACCTTTTAGTCTAGCGTCATTAAGGTTTAACCCTCCAAGGAAAGGCAAGACTGGGGTTGTGTAATCTGACGAGTCTGGTTTGGTTAATGAGCTTATTCTAACAGTTTGGACGAATGTAAGTGAAATAAGAACCATCACTGAGCAGACGAATTGAGTCGCCTTTTTTTTGACGGCGGCTCATCACATTCTATCTATCTTTAAATCTAGCAATCAAGCATATGTAGTTCCTACTCAACTTTCTACCACCGTTTTTCACATTCAATGTATTTCCTAAGCTATTGATTTCAATAGCCTTTCTTATCTTTCTTTTAACCACAGACGCACCACATTCAGTAACCCAGCTAGTTTTGATACCATTTTATTTCATATCCAGTTTCTACCATAAGTAAAGGCCCTACAAGAGCATTGTAGGTAACAAGCACACTTTTCTGTAAACATATGTAATATAAGAAAGCTGATGTAGTGAAAAATAAATTTACTATTTTTGTAAAGTTTCGCGAATTCCCATACCACAATATTTCGCGATTAACGCGCACTACTTCCCACTTTCAACTTTCGGTGAATGTCCTCAGTGATATATCCGTCGTTTCGATTTTCAAGTCTAAGAATGTCCTAACTTCCTCAAATATATCTAAAGTAAGCCTTATGTTAATTCAAATGAGGACAAGCCTTCACATCAGCTTACTCGACCCCTTTACATATGTTGGTCAAGGGATTCACTTCACTTGTTTCTTTGACAAGTTTATAGCTTGGTGTGGAGAACAGTAATACTCACTGATAATGCCAACTGCAATGTCAGCGAAACAACTGAGAATGTACTAAGTACACGATCTGATGCTGGGAATTATGATAGCTACTATGACAGAGGACTTCGGCCAAGACAAGTTCAATTAAGTCACCCTGACAACAAAATCATGTTGCTAAAACAAGGTCGACCCACTTCTATTTATCTTACTAATTTAGCACCGTTGTTTATTTAATAACATTACGTAAAGTAGTAGGCAAAATTCAACTTTTTAGCATGCTAAATATGCTAAAAGAATTTTGATGCTTCTGATACAGCCTTTAAAGTGCTCTTTAAATTTAACCAATACAATAAAATAAATAAAATAAAAATTACTTGATTAAAAATACTTTAATTATATATTCTGCCGTTTTTGTGATAAATAAGCAATATAAACATTAGTTTTGTTATAACTGCTTTTCGATGACGCTCTATGTTTGGATGGTGTTTTTTACTTAATAACATGGTATCGGGCTTGTTAGGACCCAAATGGAACAGCTGCCCAATAATGTATGCAATATATTACTTTTTGATAAATTAAAAAATTTAGGTCATCATTGTTATATTTTCTCATTTGAACTTGGCTGATCAAAAGGCTGTTGCTCTCGTCTGCAAGAAATTTTATCGGGCTGCCTCATCTCACTATTTGATGTCATCTCGACGATATCATTTTCGACAGCCCATTCGTGAAATTTACTTCCTATTTTGTGATGATGGCTCTTTTCCTATTGGGTACCAATCTGGAATTTCTTCATCTATTTCACAGTTTGCGCCATTTTTCTATAACCTTTCTTTTCAGAACTCTAATCCCTTGCATTCAGATCTAAGCGAGCTCTTGAAGTATTGCATAAATCTTGAATCTCTTTGTCTATCTGGTTGCAATTCTCTTTTCGTAAGTGATTCTGATCACTCCTTCTTATCAACCAAAGCCACAAGAGTTGAAGTCTGCTCAGCGTTGCGTCATAAACTAATTACTCTTGACTTATCTCTTATACATACCTTTACTGATGAGTCTATTTCCTATGTCTTAGAAGTTTGTCCCAAACTTGTTAATCTTAATTTGAGTGGCTGTCTTATTGATTTTTCATCTCCTTTACAACCTAACCGCCCGATCTTTGATATATGCGATTTCGATTTACTTTGGACTCATTCGCCTAATAATAGAAAGGTTTTTTCCTTTCTAAATCTATTGCGCCATTTTTCAACAGATTTATCTAGTACCTCTCCTCACCCTCACAGGCTTGATATCCGTACATTAAATTTTTCTTCAACGTCTATTGACAATAACTCACTTCTTGCTCTCGCTGAATGCCCTGGTCTTGTTCTGCATGGTTTGTATTTAGATAATTGTCGTTATCTTTCTGACGCTGGTATTGAGAAGTTCTTTATATCCCAAGAGGGAAATAGTAATTTTAAATTCCTTTCCTTGAGTTTTCCAGGACCATGTGTCACTAATTCGTTTTCTCGTCATTTTGCTTTGCCTTTTGCTCATAACTTGGAGCTACTAAATTTAGCAAAGTGGCCATATATATTAGTTGAGTCCTTTATATTTCACATCGAGCCAAAGTCTAGCTTAAGATCTATTGATATTTCTTCCTGCCAGAAAGTTGATCCTACTCCACTAATTTATCAACTTTTTATCAATCGATTACAACATTTAATTTCATTGTCTCTCTCTGGTTATGTGCATCTCATAGACGATCATATTCTTCTTATAACGGAAGCCTACGAAGGACGTCTGCGCCATCTTGATATCTCATCTTGCCATAGATTAACTGATGTTTCAATGATCGCGATTTCCCAAAAGCTATCTGAAAGCCTAGAAGTACTAAATGCTGCCTGGTGCCGAGGCTTTACTGATAAAGGCATACTCGGAGACTTAGATATCGGTCTTCATGGTCTCAGACAATTGACCCGACTGCGCTCTCTTAATTTATCGGACTGCCCCTTGATTACTCATAAATCGCTTTTGCCTTTGATCAAATTAACTCAGTCTTCTGAAAGCTCCCCTTATCGTTACTCTTTTCTAAACATGACCAGCTTACGACTTGGCCGCATTGGCACTTTGGATGGACCTGCTATTCTCGCTATTTCACAGGTTGCTCCTAGGTTGTCGCTTATCGATATTTCCCGCTCAAATGTCGATGAAGCAAGCCTAAGTAAGGTTATAATGAATTTACAGGGCAGCTTGCGTAGCTTATATGTCTCTGGATGTGAAAATTTGACGGATAAAATCCTCATTGTTTTGCAGAACTTTCTTCCTTTTCTTCATACAATCGACGTTTCATTCTGTCCATATATTTCTTCAACAGGTTTCGAAGCTTTCAGATCAAACATGTTGTATTTAAAGGACGTGAGCGCTTTGTTTAATGGAACAGAAATTGATATGTACTAACGTGACATTTACGAGCAGGCTGAAAAGTGTTTTTATCAGCCTGTTTTTCTTTAAGGCGCCTCGATTACTTTTTATCCTTTTTCTTTTTTTTGTCCGCCTTTGGGTGAGACATTCAGTAAATGTACAATTCCTTAGATATATTTGTTATTATTTTCCATACCATGATTCAGACTGTCTTTTCTGGTATATTTGTATGCTTTATCAAGCACAAGCGCCTCTGTCACTGCCATTTTTTAACTAGCCAACTATTTTACATTTATTATTTTGTCAGTTTATCCTTGTTTTGTCAGCAAAGCGCCATATTTTGCTACTTGTTTGCAATAAAGTATTTGCATTTTCTTCGATAACTTTTTACCTGAATGTGAGTGCGTGGCCTCGCATTTGTTAATTTCGAACCCAAATCTTTATCTGGTTGCGACTTATGGAATTGCGAGTTCGTCTGCTTGCTAGTTTCTTGTCGTTTTGGCTGCATATCTTATCAGTCATATTTAATTTCATTGTTCCGTTAAAATTTGGCTTACATCTTCTAGGGTCTCTCCCACAAACTAGTATTTCGATTCAACTATGCTGTTGCAGAGGTTTCATGATGCGCCCGAGTTGGTGCAAGCAGCTTTTCGAGGCAAATCGCAAGCATTTCTAAGCTTGCTAGATGTGTTCGATGCGAATCAACAGGTGAGTCGCAGGGAATCAATCTGCATTTTAATATGGCGGGTATGCAGACAAAGTTAGTGTGACTTTTGGTATGGTCGCAGTCTTATTTCTCTTTATAAAATTGGTTTGATCTCATTTTGCGACATTTAGTTGTTTTTTAGGGAGAATGACGAACATAATTATTATTGCTGTCATTATTCATCTGTTTCTCCGGCACTTGATGGGTGTCGTCTTTGAGTAACAGTATCCTTATAACATAGTTAAAGCTGGTCAAAGTGACGGGTTACTTGTCATTGACTCTACTGGCATTGCCGATTTTAATGGTTTTAAACTTAAACGCTCTATTCTAAAAAAACGAAGACGGTGACAGAGAAGGCAATTCGCAGTAATTTCTTTAGAGTCCCCTTCTGAACACTCGGGTAAGCCACGAAGAAGAGAAATACCAATATTACATTCCACTAGTTTCTATTGCCATTATAATTAAACTAATTATCACAATACAACATTTAAATGAGTAGGTTAATTAGTACACATCGCTACCGTAGATTATACAACGCATTATCCCCAAATTGGCTGCTCATCAAGTGCTTCTTTCTTGTCACCAAGCTGTTATAATTACCTCTTTCGGAGGAAATTAGACTTAATCGAGATATATCTGTTTTGAAAAAGATGCTCTTCGTTTAGCACTAAAAATTAAGATACTAATACTCTTTACTCTGATTACTTTGCCATCGAATTGCTTCAGGAGCGTCGTGTTCATTCATTCAATTCTAATTGAGTCCCAGGCGATCTGTCATCACGATACTAACAGTTTAGCTTGGTCCCATTATTTTCTTTCCTAATGCTTTGCTTCATTAATTGGCCCTGATGCAGTGAGCATAATATGTATTCACGGATTTCGTCCACGCTCAGCTTATTCAGAGTTCATCGACTACTCTTTAGGATTGATATATGCCCATTTAAATCATCTTTGGGTGAATTTGGCCTCAGCACTGTCTGTTTAAAGCCAGAGCATAAGCTGGCATTTACCTATGATGGTGTTCGCAACTCTGACAAATAAGCTTAGTACTGTACTGGTTCGACCTTATTTTTGCAACTCGGTTGGATGGAAAAGGGAGACCTTGTGAAAGATGCCCAGTCCCGCGTCCTCTGCCATAGTATTCATATTAATTTCAAGTATCGGATCGTCGACCTCATACATCCACATGGGAATTCACCTGATGGCATAAACTAGGCTAGAATATGACCTTGGTAACCTAGGGCTCGGGGAAGTTTATGCAAATTTGGACCACTTTTATTACACCTTATTGCGTTCTGTATTTGTTCATCAATCCTGGGATGAGTGATCGAATTTATTTACCTTATTTGATTTTTAGCTCCTGTCAATATCAGTACTTATTATTTTTTTAAAACTCATTCTTGGTGAATAATTTGTGTTTTTCCCCCGCTAATTGAACTTTATCTTCATTTCTCCCGAATTATAAAGGATGATTATCGGCGCACTGCATTGCATGCCTCTTCACATTGCGGTGAATTGGAGCTCGTACAGATGCTTCTTAAAAGGGGTTCGCGAGTGAACGCCAAGGATATTCGCTGGTACACACCTTTGCATCGAGCCTGTGCTTCTAAGGCAGTTGAAGTTGTTCGAGTAAGCCCCATTTCCAAGCTTTGGATGCTTCTTAGCTGCCAGTAAATCAGTCAGTATCTTTATTCCCTCCAGTTATATCAGTATTTTGGATTCCCTATATTGGGCGTTCCAGAAAAAAGTATCTAATCCATCTTTCTACTTATTCTCAAAATATAATACATTTTCTTTTGAATTCAACTACCAGTCCTTCGCCACCTTCATGAAAGAGGGTGAATACAGTTCTTATACTTTTTCTCCCTTTCCTCGGGAAACCGAATTCTTTGATCTATTAATCCTTTAGATATCTTAGGTTAGTCAGCCTTCATTTTTTTATTTATAGCTTGTACAGTGACTTGTGAGGTTTTAAATGATTCATTTCGCTCCCCTCAATCTTTTTTTGATTAAAATTATATGCTTAAAAAAGTAACTGTTTTTTTCATGAGAGTTGAATGCTTTATTCGTGTTCAGGCGCTTGTATTTAATAACTTATAGACCACTGATCCTATGCTCATTTATAGCCTTAAACCAATAAATGTAACTTTTTTTATCTTTACCATCTAACTTTTTTCTTTTTCGTTTTATTAACTTGCAAGTTTCAGCAATCCTCTTTAGAGCAAGATCCATTTGTCAATTTATAAATTCCCACACAATGTATAATAAAATCATCTCTAATATACGCACTCATTATTCTAGTAGTCACAAAATGCTAGGATCACTTTAATAAATAACACTTGAACATTAATTACATAGACTAATTAATCATGTTAATTTTTATTACCTTTAATGGTAAAGGGTGATGACGATGAGGAGCAGTACCTTACGGAGTGTGGAAGACTCTTTTTCGTTTATAAGCAGAGTTTCGAGGCTGTTAGTCGGTCAGTTATATGAGATATATTCACCATATTTCATTTAAGGTGACTGGTAGTTGAATTCAACTACCAGTCCTTCATCACCTTAAACGAAATAGGGTGAATACATCTCATATGTGGAAGACCATGTCTGCATGCTGTAGTTAATCAATTCAACTTGTTTTTGGCTCACCGTCTTGGGACCCCGCATTTTCAAACGAACTAAAAAGTATGCCAACACTAAATTACTTTTCTTTCCACCTAATTTTCAAAGTTGTTGCTATTGCATGGAGCCGACCGCAATGCTCATGATAAAGCGTGGCAGACGCCTCTGCATGTGGCTGCAGCCAATGGGGCAGTTGAGTGCGCTGAATTGCTTTTGCCGGAGTTGACGAATGTGAACGCCTCTGATCGAGGCGGACACTCTCCATTGCACCATGCCGTCTACTGTGGTCATTACGAGGTCAGTCACTCGAAGTATCATGTTTAATTTTGTATTTAATCTTAGTGTTGATGTATCACTCTTCACGCAAATGTATCTTTGTTTAATGAATAATCATTCTGAACTTTTTATTATTTCTATCATGCCTATCTGCTCTGAAGATAACTCGGCTACTTCTCATGAATGGGGCCTCGGTGAACGCTTTTGATCGACGCGATCGTCGTGCCATGCATTGGGCTGCCTACCGAGGCCAGGTCGAAGTGAGTGTTTTTAATAAGGAATTTTTTCATCTTGTTGATATCATCTTATTTTCCGAAAAACTTGCATCTAGATTTATTTTGTATACATTAAAATGAACTCATTAAAGCACTAGCCTAACTCTAGCTTTTACCTAGTTCAGTCTACTTGTGGAGCATGTTTTTGAAAAAGCTGGAAAATGTTGGGCCATGAAACTTTTTGGCTTGTTCGACTGATGACAAACATATAGAATATGATCGCTAAATTGTTACCAAACTCGCTACTTGAGATTAAATAGGGCGGAAGCCAGCAAATTACGATATTAAGATAAGAATGCACATGTCTTCTAGATTCTGATATCCATAATGTATATTATCTTTTATTCCTTTTGTGAACAACTTAAAATTATCTATTCAGATTTACTATTTGCAAGAAGCCCAGTTTACTTTGTTTCTATTTAAATGATGCTGCTACCTCTTCCGGGTAAGGCTCTTACTACCACTAATTTCATCTTTTTATTAGCTTTCTACTACTTAACTTTCAACTCGGGCCGTAAAAAACTAGTTAGGGCTCAGAACTATTGTGATATCCCAAGCCTAAATTCAAATTATTTTTGAAGATGCCTATGCAGCTATCCCCTGGGCTATTCCCTGGGGACGACAATATTAATCCCGAATCAAGAAGTACAGTAAATCAATGGGAAAGTGAACAACTGAGGCCCGCATATTCGCTTTGG